AGTCAAACCGTTCGAACTGTCCAAATCCAATGGTTTTGAATGTTTTTATTTTTTGTCAAAATGAGCCGTCCGTTCAATTTGAACAATCAAACCGTTAGACCCATAAAGCAGACCCCTGACCCGTTCGTTGTTCGGTTTAGTTTTAAAAACCTGGGTGGGTAGAAAGTAGTAGGTAAACATAAATGAGGTACCTAAATATGACAACATAATTATTGTAAAGGAATTTAAATTCTAGCGGGAAACGCTGTTTTTGGCATGTTTTCACGAAATCAATTTCCATTATTATTATTTTTTATTCTAAGAATCATTTGTAAGTTTGTTGTATATATTGGCAGGTTAAAAATGGCAAAAGGACTTGAGCCTCCCCAAGGTTTTTTTTAAATACTAAAACATCCCCTCACCTTTTAAATTGGATTTAGACCTCCCTGTCAGTGATGTTAATGGACCCAGGCCTCCCTTTCCTTCCATATTTGTTAGTAAATGACATAATGTGCAATTTAGGCTCAATTTGAAAGGAATACAAATATAAATATGTAGGGTGTAAAACATTGTATTTTATATTATTTTATATATATTTATATCGTACATATTTGCATTTATACTCTTTCTAAACTGAGCCTTAAGCTCTTTTAAAAATACAGTTCTACCCTTTATTAAATTCTTACCCATTTCTTGCAACTTCCTCCAGAAGAAAACCAGTCGTCCTGATTAAAACTCTAGCAATGAAACAAATAACAGAAAATGCAATCGAATAAGATGAATCGGCAGGAAAACAAAGAAGTAGGGCTTGTGAAGATAAGAACTGTGGAGAGAAGAACAGGGTGGAAGAGTTCTTCCATATTTTCTGGCGAATACATGATGCCATTAATTATTTTGAAGAGGTGAAGGCAAAAGAAAGGAGTGACTATTAGATATTTTACCAGTTTTTTCACCATTCGTTTTCTTGTTCGGTGATATGGAACTGCAACTATTTCTCCAATTATATTTCCATTCAAACAATACAAAATCAATGAAAATGTAAAAACCCATAACAGATTCTGACTTCCCCATAGATAAAAAATAACTGATTTTTTTTGGAAAACTAAGAAAAATGAGACTGATTTCCCCATATGATTTCCTTATAAAAGTGCTAATAATTGGTCCATCTATCTTTTGCTGGAGAAACCCAAGAGTAATATAAAGGACAATCAAGTTTTTAATATTCCAATGGTGTAGACGATTGGAGTTTTTCACCCAATTTATTAAACCCATTTAATTCCAAATTTAATTCAAGGTATATTATTATTTTTCTTCTTCTATTAAAGAAAACGGTTTATGGATCCAAGATGGGAAATCTAAGTCCAATTTGAAAAATGAGGAGATGTTTTATTATTGAGAAAATTTATGATGCGAAAAAGATATGGTATGGAAAGAGTTTTGACCAATCAAAACTCACCCATGAATTTTGATAAATAACACTTTATTTATTACCATGTTTATGATTCCAGTTTATTGGTCAATTATTTTTCCAAGGTCATATCTTTTCCATATCATAGTTGAACCCTTTATTATTTAAGAGAAATCTTAGGGGAGGTTAAAGTGTTTTACCCTAAAAATATTTGTTGAATAAATAAAAATTATGCCAGAAATAGTGTTCTAAAGTGGGATGGACCACTCGTGGACCAGAATGACATTGGTCGAGCCTAGCACCACCCAATCACTATAATGCCAGGCCCAACCCATAGCCTCGTGCCATGTCTGAATTGCATTTTAAGACCTACAGGTTGATACATGGAATAAAAAAAGTTGGTCGTGCTAGTGTGACCCGTGCCCCAACACGGTACAGTTCAGCCCAACACGACATGAAGTTGGCATGCGATAGCTAGTTTGGGGCAAAATGACTTAAATGCCCCTAACAACTATATAATAGCTAGTTTGGGGGCATCTTAGTAATGTAATAATTAAGATTTTGAAAGGCAAAAATACTCTTTCCAATAATTATAAAATGGCTATTTTAAGGGTATTTTGAATAACTAAATTATTTCCAACTCTTATAAATACCTTTAGGGGTGCTCAAGGTTCGGTTAACCGGAACACGGGCCTTTTCTCCAAATTGAACCAGTAGTGTTGGTTTTTGGAAAACTGGTAACAAAAGTCGAACCGAAGTTGATCGGTTAACCAGTTGATTGGTTCAGTTAACCACCAGTCAGGTTCATCAGTTTTTCAGTTTTTTTATTTTCATAATATTATATAATAAATATAAAATGTTATATTATATTATAAATAATAAATAATATATTATATATTACAAATATATATTTATAATATAATATAAAATCTATATGAAAAAAATATATAATATACATACATACATACATATGTATATTTGTGTGTGTGTGCATTTCGGTTAGTTCGGTTAATCGTCAATTTTTAATATTGGTTAATAAAAACTAGACCGGAATTTTCAGTTTGGTCTCATTGGTTCGGTTCAATTTTTCATTTTTTCTTGATCACCCCTAAATACCCTTACCTTCCCTTATTCTCATAACCCCAATTTTTGTACTCTCTCATCCTCCTAGTCACTTTCTCCCTAGTCCCTAATTCTTAACTTTATCTAAATTTTAACAAAAAAGGCTTGCTCAAGTGTCTCAGTTAACAATTTGGGAGGCTTAGAAGCTTCATAAGTTGAAATCAAGTTGAGATTTCAAACTGCCAAACCGAGTAAGTGGTAAGTAAATTTCATTTTTAGGGTTTTAATATTTCAAAATTTTTAAATGGATGGTTCTTCTCAAAATCCCTTTCCCTATAGCCTTGGCTTCAATGATGTCCAATCATAGTACAATAGCACCAATATGGATGTTAGTGGTACCGTTATCGATGAAGCCACCCTTGCCACTACTAGTGGTAGGGATGGCAAGAGAAAGACTAATGAAGAGCGGAATATGTTTATATAGAAACTATTGAGGGAAAGATAAAAAGAGGAGTTTGCATAAAATGTTGGAATGATTTTAGTTATAGTAGGAAAGGTGGTACTAGCCATTTGGCTAAATACATAGCTAGTCATTTGAAGAAAAAGGTAATGAAAATCAATCACAAATTGGGCAATAGACTTTTTGGTAATTTTGAATATTTACAAGAAAAATAATGCAAAGATTAGAAAAATATATTGTACATGCTAAATAACCAATTTTATTAGTTGAGAAACCTAGGCTTGAAAGATTTTTACAACAATCTATAAACCTATAATTCAAAAAAGTTTCTAGAAATACTATTAGAGAAAATGCTTTATTTTTTTATTCATATAAACAAAATTTAATTTCTACTTTGTCACATCTTAATTCTAAAATTTCACTTACATATGATATTTGGACTTGCAAGGCTGCAAATATAAAATCATTTATATTTGTGTCATGGGGCATTTAATTTATGAATCATGACTTTTACAAAAAAAATAGAAAAGAAAAGAATTTTAAGTTTTACAAGACTTAAAAGGCCATATATTGGTCTGGAAATTGTTGTAAGTATAAATATTTTACATACTTATGGTATTGAAAATAAAGTTCTTTTATGTGTATTAAAACTTCTAGAACAAGAAAACAAGAATTTAAATATTTATATAAAAATATAGGATAAAATAAAAAAATTGTATTAAATGTTTAACATAGATGGAATTTTACCTATTTTGTATTAGATAGTTGTATTTCATATAAAGACATTCTTATTAATTTTTATAATGAGAAAATGCCCCATGATTTTATAATTGATGATGATTGGGAAGTTGCAAATTGTATAAAAGATTTTTTTTTACAACTTTTTTATGATACAACTAATGTATTTTCAAGTGTTTATTACCTAACATATTGTATTTTAGTTAACTAGTTGTTTATAGTTAGTGAATAATTTAAAATAATATAGAATTGATTTAAAAGCATATGGTCTGGTTACTTGACCAATTCTCGATTTTTTTTTTTTTTTGTTTCGACCATTTGGTCTGGTTTGATTAGGAATGGCAACGGGGTGGGGTAGGGACAAGGAGTCTCCCCCCATCCCCATCCTCATGAAAATCCCCATCCCCATCATTGTCCCCGTTAGCGGGGACAAGGTTATCCCCATCCCTGTTCCCACAGGGATCCCCATTCCCTGTGATTTTTTATAATGTTAATCATTTTGTTTTTATTTTTTATTTTATTTAAAAAATAAAAATAAAATAATTAAAATTTATAATCTTATTAGAAAGGATTCAAACATATTCAACCATATTTTTAAAACTATTAATATATAAGCGAATGTGTACATATATATATATATATATATATATATATATATATATATATAAACATATGCATACATATATACATATATGTTAGTGGGGATCCCACAGGGCGGGGAGTGCTCTCCTCGTCCCTGCTAACAAGGATGAAAATTTCCCCATTCCCATTCCATTTGGGGTGGATTCACACTAGGATCGAGAAAATGGAGAAAATTACATCCCTGCGTCAGGTCTTATTTTGAAAAACATGTAGAATAGCTTTAACCAATCAAAACCCATGTGAATTTTAATGATTATCACTTTTTTGATATTGGTTGATTGGTTGCAAATTTTTCACGCATCATAGTAAAATCCTTCATTGCCCATTTCCACTGATTCGAGTGCTTTATGATGATATAAAAAGTGCAGTAAATTCTTGATACAGGAGGATTAAGAGGCCTTAAGCTTTGCATTGAACATAATTAAGCAACATTACACTTTGACTGGTAATTAAACCTATGAAACAACCATTTGCTTAAGCAGTGTTACTGTTTTTCAGATAATAAACGGCTGAGATTAAACGCGGGATGACCATTTAAGCCCAGTACCAGCAGGGCTAACAACGTCATTTCACTTTTAAGCCCCGGGCAAGAAGATAACGAATGCCAAGATGGCAAAAAGCTAAGGCCCATGTTGGAGTTACGGGCAACTCGGGTAGCAACCCAGCCTGCCCGGGTATTCATCTCTGAACCAATCAGCGGCTCAGCAATTGTTGTCAAAGCTTGCATTCGGATTCGTAAATCGTAATTCCTTCCCTCGCACTCCATCTCCAAGCCTCCAACCATGGGAACCTTGGCCAGGCCCACGGCTCTCTACCACCGTCATATGCCCCAAACATTCAAGGGACGCCAGAGCCGCTCATTCTCGACGATCCGAGCTTCGTCAATCGGTGAAGAAAACCCGGTGCACAGACGAAAAGTGGTGTCCACGTTCTTAACAGCTTCACTGGCACTCGGACTTCAGGCAACCCCAATTGCTCTTGCCGAGAATTGGGGCACTCGGTCGTTCATCAAGGAGCGATTCTTCGAACCGGGGCTTTCTTCGGAAGACGCCGTGGCACGAATCCGACAGACAGCCGAGGGTCTGCACAGCATTAGGGGCATGCTGGAGACCATGTCATGGAGGTATGTCCTGTTCTACATTCGCCTCAAGACGGCCTATCTTTCTCAGGATCTCAAGAATGTCTTGACAATTATGCCGGAAAATCGCCTGGATTCTTATGTAAAGACGGCCAATGAATTAGTAGATAACATGGCAGAGGTACGCTTCTTTCTAATTCTAGCTGCTGTATTTGGTTTGATAGAAAATTGGATAGAAACCGAAAGTTGTTGGGCGAAAATTATTAGTGGCAGAAAAAAGAGATTTTATAAAACAATTCATAATTCAATGGCCCATGCAGGTCTCGAACCTGCGACCTTAAGGTTATTATAACGACGCTATAACCAACTGAGCTAATAAGCCACATTAAACCTTAAAACCGCTTAATTCTCTAATAGAATATACAATCCTTCAATAAAACAATTTTGGTATATATGGAGATAAATTACCTCAAGGTTGATTCTTTTGAGGCAAATTCTTGACTTTGAAATCTAGATTGTCAAACCACCACCACTACCAACAGAGTCTGTTTATCTTTAATTGATCTTTGATCTGAATATCTTTCATGTGAACTCATTCATTCTTGCTACTAGTGAGGCTTTCCCTCGAATGGTTTGTGATGTATATATATTTTTTTCTTACAGTTCGATTATTATGTTCGCACACCAAAAGTCTATGAATCATACTTATACTACGAGAAGACTTTGAAATCAATGGACGATCTTGTGGCAATGCTAGCCTAGAGTACTTATATATCGGCCGTGTCGTTTCGGCGATGAAGCTGGTAGTCTGGGTTTCGGTGCCTGCAGATTCCCTGAGCAACTGGTTCAGAGAAGCGAGATCTGTATCTCGTGCCATTAATTATCTCGCTTAGTTATTGTTCTTATGTTTTCTTTTCTTTTTTTTTTTCACAAATGCATATGGAATGAAGATAAAGTTACAGGTTTCCAATGAACCGTTGAATATCACTAGTTAAAAACGCACTTGATTCTGTCTCTGATGCCAAAACATCTAACACCACTGTAAGTGTAAATTAAAGATCCTTTCTTTATTCCAAGTAATTGATTAATTTATTTATTAAGACAACCTCTTTGATTAACTTGCAATTAATCTCGGCTTCAGGATTGGTAATTGAACTGTGAAATGAGTAGCAATGGAATACTGAATGAGTAAGCACTGCACTGCAGGGGTCATTTCATGGTGTTTTAATTTCAATTGAAATTAACGCGATGGAAGGAAAATAAATTCAATGATTTAAATATAAATCCAACAATCAAATTCTTGAAGAGGAGCATTCAGGCAAATACATATACATATACATAGAAAAAGAACACATGTAGCAGAAGACGTACGAAACTAGCACAAATTAAATAAACTGCCACTCTTGCAGATGACTATGCATGGATCGACATCAATTGTTCTCACGCGATATTACTTAAGGGCCGGGATGGATGGTCCTCTCACCAAATCAACGTCTTGAGATGGCAATGGATGATAGCAGGATTAGTAGTATAAACACCACAATTCCGATAAAGGAGCCGATCAAAGAGCCAGAGATGCGTTCACAGAAGGAGTTGAACTGTTGACAGATAGAGAACCAATTTGCCCGGGCATTGCCCTTGTGTGCCAGATACACAATTGCTGCTGCGGCAGAAGCTCCGGCCGTGAGTAGAGCCAGCATCGCCTGTACAAGCTTGAAATATTAATTAGAGCCTCTACCGTCACTCACTGTATGTATGTACATACGACATACGACATGCATGCATGCTTATTTCAAACTGAAACAATTAATTAATTAATTAATATAGTTTACCGCATCAAGGAAGGTTAACACTATCCTACTGCCTCTTGCTGAACTCCTGGCGATGTGGTAGATGGATAGAGGGAGAGAAAGAATGAGGTACGCACTTACAACTGCATTTGCAATCACAAAGAACCTGGTTTGGTAATATATAGGCGCCGCGCCGGCACACACAGAGATAGAGAGTAAGTTTCATAAAACAAATTTACATCTAGCTAATAAAGCAAGATATAAATTTAAGTTCACGTACGTAAAAGAAGGGAGATCGCTGTATTGAGCTTTGAATCGGATGAACTGTGTGAAGAAAGGGAGTGTCTCATTAGTTGTCCCCATGGCGATTGCACTTCCCAGTGTACCCGCAACCGCGACTAGCCTCAGAACCAAGTCTAGAATGGAGATCCCTCTGTTCAACCCTCGTCCTGGGGTTGAAGCCCTGGATGAAGCTTCTCCAACTTCAAGTGCTCCTGCTGCCTTCATTTTCCTGACGGCCGGACCGAAATTGCGCCTTCCAAGTTTAATTTCTGATCGATCGATCGATCAGGTTGTATATGCGGAATTCTGCAGATGTGAAGTAATGCTAATTATGCTAGTTGTTGATATTGATGGCCTGAAAGAGGTAAGGGAAGTTATGTATTTATACATACTAAGAACGCAATGACGCAACGTCACAGCCTGCATGCCACCAACAGTGTAAATTAAGCAAATATGTCGGATTTGACGCGCATATTAGGTTTAATTTAATTGCTGATCTTAAGTGGCAAAGGACCCTCCTTAATTCTCCTCCACTGGAGCCATGTTTTATCATGTGAAATGGTACTGACTAAAGTTAAGCTAGCTAGGACTTCATTTTTTAGGTCATTGCCGCACCTGCCCTTACTTGCTCTCTCTGCCTTTATTCTTCTTTCTTAATTGTATGTTCAATTCGAATTAAATATGTATCATCACCAATGCCTCTTTCTCTCTCTCTCTCCCTCTCTCCCCACTCCAACAAACCTTGCCCAAAATGGTAATGTATGTCTGTATAGTTGGATATTAATGTTGGTGTAGAAAAGAGTACAGTTTTATTTTATTAATTTTCTTCCTCTTAGGGGCCCGGACTATGGAAAGAAGAGAATGGGGTAGTTATTTGTTGTGTTGTGTTAGAAACCTGCAGAGTTATCTTATGGGCACATGAAGGTTGAGTGGGTGTGTATGTGTACATCCTAATCCACTTAGTTCTGTGAAACATTATTCATTAATCACTAGGGACAAGAAAAGTAGCGTCTTAATTTTGGGCAGAAATCTTGGAGAGTTCATCAACAGGAAAACAGATTAACTAGGGATATATCCTCTACACAATGCACTGTATTTCATTCATGGCCATGAGCTTTTTATTTTTTTGTCTTTTTAATTTCCATTCACAGCTTGCCAATGGATTATTATTACTTACTGCCTTCAGAAACTAAACAGAAAATATAACAGTTATGAATGCCTTGAATCTTTTAATTTGATTAGGTATTGAAAGCATTTAAATTTATGTTTCGAAAAGAGGAAAAGGCGCAGGAAACTAAACTTGAAAAGAGCGTGGTGGGTTTGGTGGTTTTTGGTTTATGTCTGCGTTGCGTTGAAGGTGATTATTCTAATATTTTTTTTTTGTGTGTGTGTGTGTGTTTCAGTAAACCATGCAAGTGGCTACTAAAATAGCACAGTAATGTAGTGTTTTTCAAAGATTCGCTAACCCCACTTGGTCATTGACCAATCACTAGTTGATTATCTTCGAGATTTTACCTCTAGCCCTCAAGTCCATCAATGAAGTCATCTTCTTTAATGCGTTTGGTTTTGCAGTAGTATTTTTCATCAGCTCCTCCAACTAATAAGAAGTGTGGGATTATTAACTCCCTGCAAAAGTTTCTCATCTTCCAATGGAGATTCGCACACTTAGAAGCTTCCCAATTTATTGAAACAATTTTACTCTTTCATTGGTTCCGCTTTCAGTCTTATTTGCTAGGTAAATTTACTGGTAAGGGACTTTCAAATTGTCGCTTACAATTAATAGATGTGAAAAATCTTTGCAAAGTTTATCCTCCAATGGAGATCTGTGCCCACAATGTCCTCCTTATATTCAACCTAGCTATGCCCAACTACTTCTAATGGCAATTTTACCGTGAAAACCTCTTGTGTGGTAAAATCTGTTTAACCAATTATTGTGATAATCTCACTCCTAACCGATTGCTGAATTTTGTTTGGAAGACTGGTATCTCTTAACTAAAAATGTTTATGTTCTTTTTTTTTCTCCCTTAAAAAAAGAATTTAATCAATAGGGGCTTAAAAATTGGTGGCGCATGTACTGTTTATGGGGTTGTGGAAGATGTGGATCACATCGTTTGTCTGGGGTTGGAGGACAATTCGATGTGGGACTGTTATTTCAGTGCTTATTGAGAGAGCACTTGGTTTTTTGTGAACCTTAAAACTAGTTTTCCAGTGCGATGAAATCTCTCCAAGTGGTAAATACTTTGTTCAGATCCATTGAAAGTGTCCTTGGTGGGGAGTTATTAGAATAAATTTTGATGCATCATGCGATTCTATTGGGTTCTGCAACATTGCTTGTATTTCTAGAAAATCATCATGGTGAGCTCTTTGATATGAAAGTGTATGTTTTAGGAATACTGCAATCAATCTTGTTGAAGCGTGGGCTGCATGGGAAGCCCATAATCTTGCACTCAATTTTAAGAACCAGCCTATCATCGCTAAGGGAAATTCAAAATTAGTTATCAATCAATTGTTTAAGGAAGCAGTGAATCTGCCTGGAGACTGAAGACTGTGATAGATGAGTGTATGTTGCTTAGTTTTCTTTTGGATCTTGGTATCTACTATCAGTATGTCTTCTGTGAGGCCAAAAATGCAGCTGACTGGTTGATGCTTAGGGTTGCCTAGGGAGATTGGGGTAATTTGCTTCTATTGCTCTTGGTGGGGTGCTATTCCCCATCTTGTGTAGGACTTTTCTGGATTTACCACACACACACAAAAAAAAAGGGATTTTAGACATCCATTGACCTTTCTACTGACTGCTATTAATATTGAGGAGAACCTCATGAAAGTTGGAGCAGGTTCTTTTTTTTTTTTTTCTTTGTTCTTGTATTTTTACAAAGTCACAAAGTCAAGATATATTTCCTTTTCCTTGTCCTTTCAGTTTTTTTTTTTGTTTTTGTTTTTCTGTCTTTATTTATTTAATTAATCAATTATCAAAGTTTTGGATAACATGATTCCAAAGGCTGAGTTTGATTGTATTAACCGAAAGAAAGAATATAAGAAACAAGTACAAAATTGTTTCATGAACCATCCTTGGTTAGCATAAAGTATTAAAGTCAAATCCTTTATTATTAGTCCATTTTCTGTACACAAGTATTTTTTTTCAAGTAAACCAATGAGATAGTCCCAAATCAAAGTAGTGTAGTCCATGTCAGGTTGAAAGGGAAGTTATTTAACTATGAACAAGAATGCTCAAAGATTCAACCTTGAAGTGTAGTTCATCCACATCCAAAAGAGTAGCCAAGCTGCTGATTGATTAGCTAACTAATGAGGATCATCTATCGACACCAGCTCCTTGGTTGGAGGCTGGATTACATCCTTCTAGCTGATGTAGTAGGTAGTGATTTTCCTATGTTTTCTAAGTTCTTTCTACTTTTCATCCCTTTTCTAACAAAAGAAAAAAAGAAAAATCAAAAAATACATTCCCGTCAAAGTTTGAGTGCTAACTTAACCTTAATACCTGCTCCAACCTTATGGAGAACACCGTTTAGTGTTCATCTTTCACAGTTAATATGGCTTCAACCACACTTCGACGTGGAAATATATCATTGGTTGGTATGAGGAAACATTCACTTATCTATACCACAAACCCTTTTTCAGCTGCCACCCGTAGGGATGATGTGGCCAGTTCAAATCATTCACCAAGGGCAAGAAACAGGGGACCTTCTACCTGTTCGATTTTCCAATTCAGCCCACTGTTCTACACCACCTTTTATTAATTTTTTTTCGGTTGTATTAACTGTAGAGAATGTTTTTTACATATTTACAAGGAGGACTTTTCTGACCATTTGTCAAGATACTTGGCTCCCCGAACTTTGTTTTGCAACAAATACCTCCCAACCTTGATTACAGCGGCATTTGATCCAAGTCTCCACTAGAAACCTTACAGGCTGAGCCAATCGGCACCGTCCTCTACCTCTTTATTAATGGGACCATGTGGGGAAATTTTTTTAACGTAATCGACATGGAATATTCCATTCCCATTCAGCTTTCTTGTTCAACCAGCAGAGTGTGTTAAACTGTGTTAGGCTTCTTTTTAGGTCAATCCACGCCCATTATTAAGAATTGGGCCTAAAGTCCAATATTGATATGTATGTTTGTAGTTGGATCCCGTCCAAAAAAAAAAGTCTGAAGCTTTAAAGTTTTGGGCCCAAACCCAATTGGAAGGAACCAATGGATCTCAAGACACATTTACCTTCAATATAGTTTAATTTCACTTGCATATATGAGCAAAGATAGGATGCAAACGGATCGGATCGGATTTAAATCAATATATATCTGAATCTGATTCAATACTACAAATTATAGATTTGATCCAATCCAAAGATCCAATTAAATTTTACAAACATTGATCCGAATTTGAATTCAATAGGATGTTGGATATCTGAATCTGATCTGATCCAGTTTAAATTAAAAAAATTAATAAATTATTAAAAGAAAAAGAAAATATAATAATTCAAATAAATTAAAACAAAAATACAAATATTTTATCAATTATTTTTTATGATGCGCGATTCGGTCTGTCCTAGCTGCCAGTAACCTTGCCTCTGACGGAACTGAAGATGCCTGAAACAAGGAAGAAACTGGAGATTTCTGGGGAGGGACCCGGTAAGAACACTCCGAATCTCAAATTAGTGCTTTTGAAAAGGCAAGGGGAAATAAGGGACTTCAAGACCAGAAGGCACAAAAATCACATACCTCCTTCTTTGGGGGAAGGGGGTCTTTTATAATCACCCTGGTACACTCACTCCCATACCTCTACCAGATCGGGTATCATCACCTCTGCCAGATCGGGTGTCATCACCTCTGCCAGATGCCAGATCAAGTGTCATCACCTCTGCCAGACGCCAGATCAGGTGTCATAGCCGCCACTGCTTTCCCTGTCAGGGCAGTCTCTGCAACGACTTGAGATGGCGGTAGCAGGTGGCCGTTGGAGTGCGGCTGTCATGTGTCAGACCCCTAATCAGTCAAGCGCACCGCCTCAGAATACGGACTTCTTTGGTGTCAGGTACAGTTGTTCAGCCATGCGACCTGGAGCCAAAGTGTCGGAGTGGTATGCGAGGTGAAGTCTTGAGTTCGGATAGAAGTGTGGCCCGAACTGCCCCGAGGTGGGCCAGTTCGGGTGGTTGCCCTTTGCATTCCTCGTAAGGCCCGGGGACTCTAAGGGAGAGCTTGGGCTCCTCCCTGGGGAGCTCGGGTCGTGGGTTCCTCTTTGGGGGAGCTCAGGGCTCCTTTTCTTGGAGCTCGGGTCGTGGGCACATTATTGTGCCAAGCTGGCGCTCCTGCCAGGTCACCCTCGGTTGCTTCCAC